TCATGTATAAGCTCGACGAATGAAAAAAAGAAACAATAAAAACCTACCCTAAATGCTCACGCTTTTTGCTCATTTCTATCCTGAATCAAGAAAGAAAATAGAAAACAAAAGCCATTAAGTTGGGTTCACCTTTCTTTGTGTCAAACCAAGCTTCAGTACCTAAGAAAATTGCAGTTAAAGGAAAAAGCATGAAATTGAGTCGCTTCTTCCCAAAAGCCTTCGGAGCGCAAGTAATAGCGTTGGGGCGCGCTCTGCCATGTACCGACGATCGCGGCGATCGCCGCTGCTGTCGCGAAGTATGAACGCTGCCTAATTGGTTCATTATTGCAAAATGGGCCAGTGATGGCAAGTATAAATAAAATCGATTGCTTGCCCCGAAACTCCGACCTCATCGATGCAGGGCTCCATCTCAGTTCCACACATGATCCAAACCCGACCATGCCACCTTAAAGGCAGTTGGCACGATAAATCCCTAAAGACGAGTAGGATTAATACCCCTGGCAGGACGGATTTCCGCGCCCCTGAGCAGGTGCTGCGTAACGCCCTTACCAAGGAAGGTGCCCTTATAAGGGGCCTTTCAAGCTACAACATATCGACCCTAACGCCCGCCCGCCCACATATGGACGACCGTTCCTGACGCTGGTATTGATTCATTTGCTAAGCAATTTATGAAGTGAAGGCCTTGTATGAAGCGGCAGCAGTGCTACATGGATATATGAGTATGCACATGCAGCCATACCTTCGGTAGCGGTCATTGGCAAGATGTCTACGGGAAACTCGTCCAAAATCGATATTAATTTCTTTGAGAAACGAAGGCTTTTTCTTGGTGGCACCGTTGCACTCCGTTCTTTCGCCATTTTCCACTGAAGATTACGCGTCCTGCTAGCATTTTAGGCCCAATATCAAATATATCATTCCAAACTGCCTTTAACACTCCAGCGCTTCATGTGAGGCAGACACATCGTTATTCTAAATATGGTTAGTTATTAGCCAAAAGACTTGATCCCAGGTGGGACTTGAACCTCAAAAAACCACCTTAAGAGTGAACGATCCATCCCTATTATCAGTACTGGAGCAGCAGACAGCGCACGCCAATCTCCGATTTCAGTCATAGTTGTTAAGACAAAAACCTGTAGCATCGTAGAACGCCACGGCATAACAGATTTCCACTCACCTGGTCACAAAACACGAGACACTGTGATGAAATGCCTGCGGCTTGGCAGCACTGCGAGTGGTCTTCACCTCGAGCAGCACAAAACTGAATTTGAGAGAGTGCTGTGGCGGGACATGGGAAGCTGAATGTCAAGGAAGATTGAATCTGAAATTATCTGCTTTAGAAGGGCTTTTCGTAGAGACAAGGTGCTATTCTTAAACGGTGACACACAATGTGTCCCGTTCGCGACACACCAGTGGATGGAAACTCTTCAACGTTTTAACGTTTCTGAGGGTCGTATTCAAGGAGGTCGTAAGCGGAGAGTTACTACACACTGAGCAGCGTCAAAGTGTCAAGACCGCTGTGCTGTGTATAGCGGAGCTTGTGCTGAGGAGAACTCGGAAGCATGAGAAAAATTTCAAAGTATTGAAATATCGCCTAACGGTATTAATTTGTTAACATGAAGTCATAACTACGAAGATGAAAGGAGAGTTTATTCGAAGAAGCCTGTAGTTAAGCCAAGGATCTTCTGGACCCTATGAACACATTTTCTTGCACGAACAAGCATCACGGTTGCACCGTGCGGACCACTTTTGCGCGGGAGCCTGATGCATGGCGTATTCGAAGACGAGGCCAAAGCGGACCAGTGACTACCTTTTTAATGAATACCTGTTTATTTTCCTCTATTTCATTCGAAAATTTTTCCTAACTCATTTCCTAACCTTTCCTTCCTCAACTTTCTACTTTGTCGTCATGAATATAATCTTCTGCATTATTTATTCTTCACCACAATCTTGGAGGGTGTGCTACTTATTTGGGACTTCTTCAAAGATTTCTCCACATTTTTCATCCCAGTAAGATCAGTTGGCATCTAGGATCCATCCATATTTGGATCCTAAGCCCAGATTTTGATAGCAAACGCGTCTTCAGGTGTTCGTGAATAAGCCTGGAGTGTTCGGCTGAGAAACCAAAGGAGATTTCATATTCAATGCGATGCACTTGTGTTTCATAAAGCAATGAGTTTTTACGGACTCATTTTTAGAGGGGGGGGGTTGTACTTCGTCATTGGGGTATCTACGGTTTGGGTTGCAGGAGCGGGGTTGAAAATCTTGTGATTTTCCTGTTCCTGCCATACACGCCCCCCCTCCTACATAATTTCTTTGATATCAGAGACTACCGCTGTAGTACTTTCGTGAATACTACCGAAGAGACGCTCAATCGGCTCGGGTAGCCTACAGGCGCGCCCTTTTTGATGAACTACTTATCACATCGGAAATCTGCTCACCGCTGACGTGTTGTAACCCTCGAATGTGCACATGTGACGGCAGCTTTCCGGAACATCCAGAAGTGAGCAACACATTGAAAAATGTTCATCAGGTTCCTGAAACACTAAAGTCAATGACTTGTATGGTAGAAGTCCACTTGTTTATTCTGAACACAGGTAAATTTTATTATTTATTAGCTACGTTATATAACACAAGCGTGACAAAAGAAAGCATCAGGAATCAAGACCTATGAACGCTTAATTCTATCGGTGCCGGAGTGACATTGGATGACAGAGTGGACGTCATCAATGTCTCCACTGTCCCTGTTACATGCCAGAGCAGTACAACGGATCCTGTCATCTCGAGCAACAGCAACGAACTCTTTCACTCCTTTCGTACGGATACTCGTAAAGAAGTCTGACTGTTGAAAAGGCTCTCATTGGGGTGTCGATGCTCTGGGATATCCAGCATAGCCTTTCTGCATCAACGGTTATCACAAAATCGCATGACAAGGGCGGCCCACCTTATTTTGGGTTCATTAGTAAATACGGCGGCATCCGCGTACTTCGAGAATTGACAGAGTTGGGAACATCGGAATCTCCGCGTTGAATGACTGCATGTTCTTCGTGCCCCCGCAGAAGCTAGGTCTCGTAAGCATACGTTGAAGGAACAGTCCGCGATGATCTATGAAGATGCACAAGATTGTGTGACAAGGGTAGGGTAGTGTGGTCCGCAATGGACAACCTTGTGCCAGTTTCGCAGCGCAAAGTTGTGAGGTAAAGGGCCTTCACCTTTTTTGAGTCACTCTGCCTCCAGACTCCGCCCTCAGTGTCCGCCTTCCAGCTATTAGGTTGTCCGGAAAGTTCTGCACGTTTCGAGTGTTTCACTTTAAACGATCATAACTTTCTTAACACTCATCGGATTTAATCCAAATAAGCACCATTCGAATCAGCACACTTTTGCCAATGTGAAGACAGTCGATAAATCCCTAAAGAAAAAACTGGGTGGTCGAGAATCCACGAAATCTACGAAGGCTTTTTTGGATGGCCCTAATTGATGAAGTATTTTCCGGCAAGGAAGTTCTGAAAATGTTTGAAAAGGTGATAGTCGGTTGGTGAAAGGTCTGGAGAATATGGCGGGTGAGGTAGAACTTCAACCCCAATTCGTTCAATTTATGGATAGTGATTTGTGAAACGTGTGGGCGGGCGTTCATGCAAAAGAATCGGACCCTTTCTGTTGACAAGTGCTGGCTGCAGCTGACGCAATTTTCGGTACATTTCGTCGATTTCTTCACAGTAGGGTTCTGCTGTGATGGTTTGGCCTGGTGATAAAAAATAGTGGATCACACCAGCCGATGACCACCAAGCCGTGACCAGAATCTTTTTTTCGTGAGGGTTCGGCTTTGAAAATTACCTCGGTGGTTCGTCGAAATCCAACCACTGTCCGGAACGTCTCTGTATCATACATGATCCATTTTTCATCACAGGTGACAATTCGGTCCAAAACGGGTCGTTTCTGTTGCGCAAAAGCAGTGAAGAAGAAACCTCGAGACGTGCCAATTTCTGCCGTCACTCAAATTGTGGGGCACCCACTTGTCGAGTTTTTTTTTAACCTTCCCTCTCTCGAACTGTTTGGGATGGGTCAGCCTCCAAAATCCCCCTAAAATCCTCGTCAGATATTGCTTTAGGTCGACCGCTATGAGGTTCATCTTCAAGGCTGAAATCTCCAGAACGAAATTTGTTGAACCATTGTCGCACGGTGCTTTCTCCTACACTATTGGGCCCCCACACCTGGTTAATTTGTCGAGCTGTCTCGAGTGCGGAATGACCTAATTTTTAGTTGAAGAAAAATATCGTCCGAAGTTGCTCTTTTGACATGCATCAAAAAGTCTTGGGAAAAGGGGGTTATCAAGCAATGGTGAAACGGCAATTATACCATCAGATAGCGCAAAGAATTTCTTCAGGATGTACTACTGAGACGCAAGGGAGAATGAGTTTTTAATCAGCAATGAATGTACAAAAAATAGTAACACAAAACGTGCAGAACTTTCCGGACAACCTAGCGATGCTACCGGATAAGTGGCAGAAATGGAGGCCTCGCTGTCCATTATGGGGTCATAGGGCTCATTACAAGTAATCAATCTGCTGGACACGTCCCACACGCTATCTTTGGGTCTTTTACCCATGCAATTTTCGAGGCTGGAAAGGTCCTACTGAAACTCCGATGGTCCCTTTGTCATTTTCTCTTCACAAACGAGTCATCTGGCTACCTCTCTAACATATTTCAACATCCTTACCTACTCTCCTTATCGCGGACTGCGCGTTCAAGGCAAGGAGGAGAAACTGAAGATGTGAGTAAAAATAACCAAAAAGGTTGACACGGAACCGAATGCTTGTCTTTCTTGCTACCACTAGTGCTTGATTGCTCTTCATGAGGCTCACTTTCTCCTGCTTATCTCTGGAGGTTTTCATTTCATCGCAATGGCCTCCCATTTGCACTAATAGCCGCTAAGCGCAAACCCAATTTTAACGGCAGCGTGGTGCAGTAGTAATGGCCTTGCATCATAGTCGTGCCATGGATGTTCGGTTCTGGGGAGAGCAACTCCCAGAACCCAAACATCCATGGCACGACTTTGTGCATTTTGTGAGGAATGTCTCTTTTGCGTCTGGAAAACCTCAAACGCCAAATGGGTGTCATATTCCTGTGCAGGAGGCGGAACTACTTTTGTGGACAGGTTTCTAGTCAAATGCAAGGTTTTGGATTGGATTTGAAAATGCGGCGAGCAACTGATTGAATGAGCCCCCAGTAGTTCTAGAGCCAGTTTCTTATAGATTGCTTATTTTCGGACGGGATTTGCTTTTAGATATCAAGAAAACTGAAGCAGTAACAGAATGAAAGCGTCGGATATGGCAAGTTTAGGGTTCGTACAGCAGAATGTATCTGTAGCTGAATAGGTGTGGACATGAGTTGAACTGCTCCCCATCAATGCTTCACTTTTCGAATTCAGGTCCAAATGCCAGATTTCACTAGAAACTTGAGTATAAAGGTATTTTGACATGCTATACACGAATATGACACTCGCTGAGCGCGAAAACGCCTGTATCGCGCACGGAAGGCACCTGTACGCCCCAAAATTTTTGTGCACTCGAAGGCTTCCACAAGGAGCCCGGCGCAGTAATAAGCGGTCGCGAACTTTTCTTCAGGCAAGTTTAGGTGAGCACTGAAGTAGTAGTGACGGCAAAAGCACTTTTTGCCATATTCGTGCAAGAGGCAAAAAAGTTAAGCTTAGCAGGGATCCGATCTCATGACCTGTTGCGTGATAGACGCGGAGGAGAAAGCTCAATAACTCCGTTCAAGAATCGTTCTTCAAATTTCGAAGGCAGATTTGAGATCAGCGTACCGTGAGCTACGTCTCATCAAAAATGGCCACTTCGAACTGGAGACCTTCCCTAGTTAGATGCAATGGGAAAAGCATTCGCAACGCCCGTCGACTTCACCAACAAGAAGACCAAGGTGATCGTCCTGCGACGACGATTAGATGGGACAATGTATGCATCCCGGGAGGCCATGGAGAGAGTCATTCACAATTTCTACTCTGATCTTTTTGAGAGCCAAGTCCACCCGCCAACGTACTTGTTGAAGTAGGATAGCCTCGTCGTTCCCTAAACTCTCCTTTTCGAAGCCCGACACCCTGTCTCATTTGTGAGGAATCACACAGCACCTGGTCTTGAAATCCGAGTTAGGATAAGACTTGAATGAATTTTAACAGATTCAATTATTTGCAATTATTTGATCGTAATTAGTAATTGTTGTAATAATGACATAAAGCTATCGACGGGGGGAAGGGGCATTTTGTATTATAATTGCTTCCCTGGTTCCGGTTTACAAATCTCACTCTGGTAAAACTTGTGAACGCTTGTGAAGCTGGAGCAAGATCGTCTAGCCACCATCCTAAAACGTGTCAACTCGAAAAAGGGTACCTAGATGGGTTGGCAAATCTATGAAAAGCAGAATGCCCCCCCCGTCGATAATCAGCGTCCGATCCTAACGCTTTTTTACTAGTCTCACCTGTGTGGTTACGGTGTGCACTACGCCTGCATCGTCTTTATATGTTCTTGCGGCTCGTGCGCGAGCTGCGAAACATCCGCCACCTATACACTGAAATACGGTAGATGTATCAAGGGCATTAGTTAAACAGCAAGACATGGCTCAATAGCTCGTATATGAGGCTAAATGACAGTCTGCAATTAGGCTGCATACTTTGCGGCAGGGTTCACCAGCGTCCACCAGCTACCACTAGCCTTCCGAACGCTCGACAGCGTCAGTGACTAGAAAAGTATAGCTGTCGATCTAACGTCTGCTGGCATCTGCCAACATCCACCCGCGTTCACCAGCGACTGGGAGTAGAGAGTATGGGGAAGGAGAGTAGCAAACAGTCGGATTAGTCGTCGTGAAATTGTGGCATGTGCAACCGCACTGTGGTACACAGTAATTCCAGAACATTGGTGCTTCAGCAGCTGTGCGGTGCGGTGTCTCCGGCGGACACGCCCTAATCCAGCCACTGTTACAGCCTTTGTTACACTCCTTTCTCCCCATACTCTGTACTCCCGGTCGCTGGTGGACGCTGGCAGACGCTAGATCGATATCTATGCTTTACTAGTCGCTGGCGCTTTCGGACGCTTGGAACGCTAGTGTTCGATGGTGGACCCTGGTGGACGCTGCTGCAAAGTATGAACGCGGCCTTAGTGGCTTAGAGAATTTCCCATCACGAGTTGGTATTGGGAAATTTCGCAGCAGTGAATTTGGGCATAAAATGGTAACTCACAGGTGGAACGCACATTCCAAAAAGGCACGGGGGTGCACATCCAAGACGTCCATAACAGCCAAATGCGAAGCACTGCAAAGCGTTCTTCAATAGCTTTCCAATAATCTCCTCTTTATCTAGTCCAGTAAGCCTCAGGTCATATACGACCAGCTTTCGGGCTCTTTCGGGTTTCCCGTGAAAATTAGTCGGGTGTACTTCTAACTTCAGTCAGACACCTTAGTCACTTTATTCATCACAGAAGCCCCATTTTTATTTCTAGCTAATCCTAATCATCTTCTCACTGACGTTTGCCACATCTGAACGTATGAAAGCACGTGCAGAGAACATACGCTAAAAAAGGAGTCTAGCGGCTGCCGATGGGAAAACTGGTTACTTCATAGGGTTCTAGCATGTTCGTATGCCCGTTCGGAAAAACCGTTCTAGTGCGCATGATAGGGGAACTCATAGGAGAAATGACTGGTAGGAAAGCTGGAAAGCTTCGATGTTACGTATCGGTATCTAACATCTAACGTGGTGTCATGGTTGTGACGACGTATTGTCTTATTTTGTGAAACACCTACTCTACCTTTTAGTTGACCCATTGTCCTTACCCTGGGTTCTAAATTGGTGGGTGGGCCCATGAGTGATGGCATTTATTTTTCTTGCATAAAATTTTGTGCAAAAATTAAGGAACTTCCATGAGCAATCCCCTCCGCTACACGACAGTGTGCCCATTCCATTATTCTCCCTTGAATTCCTTTTAACATCGCTCATCGGAATATCGTGTTGGGTGCATCGTTCAACGGAGTATCGTGTTGGGTCGACACGAATGAAACTTCGACACTACCTTTTTGAACTCAATCTAGGCTCTCAAATTGCTGAAGCAGTTGAAAACTTGTGCTGTGCATGATGAAGGAACGTACGCACCGCACGTTTCCAGAGCCCCTTAGGAGGGGTCATTTAAAGCAACTTGCAGATCACTATTTCGACCTTGTGCGAGGAGCGACTGCCTGCAGAGCTCAAGGACCACGTTTTCGAATCTGAGCCATCAAGTTAAGTGATGCTCAAAGGGAACTGTACCAACCAGTTTCCCACTCTTCGGCATGGATCCCCGTGAATAAGCTGATTCAGTAAAATCCCAATCGAGCTCAGTGGGACCGCTTGTGTATGAGGTCAAAACTGCAAGCTTTCAGGTGCAGTTCGGTTTGGAGGGGCCACTTTACACTTCCTCTGATTTCCTTTGTCATGTCGAGCCATCAGGTAGAGAGTTGCTGTAGAAATTACTTGTCATCTCTCGTGAAGAATACCTATCAACTCTTGTAGAGCAGTGAATACGACGGGGAAGTAGTGGAGGTGCAAATGCTCCCTCCCCACCCCCCATCCAACAACACCAAGCTTAACTGAAAACTTTTGGTGACTCAAGCCGTTATGTGCCTTCCTATGAGACTTCGGATCCCCACTACACACTCAGCAAATGAGCCCCTGCCGCTGTAGCTTTTCAATTTGAAGCAAAAAACTGAAGGCTTCAAAAATGATCATTCCCCTTGACTGGACACTGCAGAAAACCTGAAAGCTAATAGAAATGGCGTTTCAGAATCGTAATGGCTTACTGAGAGCGATGAGGTGTCTACAATGAATTTGCGGGTGTCAACCGATACAATCAGTATTTCTCCCTCTTAGACGAAGCTAGTACCAATTCACATCCCCAGGAGAGTAGAGGGACTGGTTGGACGGGACGGGAGTCGACCCGGGATTTGAACCCGACATCGCGCATGTGGTAAACGTGCCACCTGCCACTAGACCGCCTCCGCCTCAGCGAATCGCTGATAATCCCAAAATTGTTGCACTGTCAGGAAAGGTGAAAGGATTTGAGTGAGCACATCAACAAGGATTGGTCTTGTCAGCCCGGGATGTGCTAGTTTTTTTGTTGGCAAAAAAATGCGCTAACTGAAACATCATCGGCCGCTACTGAAATATTGTTTCTTCTCTAACCGGCCATCCATTCACCCATGCTCAGCTTAATTCATTGAATCTATCCTAAAGGACCAAGTAAGGATAGGTTTGTGCATCAATAATTCGAAAACTGTTGTGAATGGGTCTGGAGTACCTTTGGGATGCACTATATTTCTCAATAAATCTCTCGAAATATGTGCTACATATTGTGCGAAATTTCAAGTCGTTTGTTTATTAGAAGAAATACTCACTGCATCAGCTATTTCAGAGAATAAGACGAGCAATGGCAATGAGGTTACAAGCGGATTCATGACTAACAGCGCTGCTTCGAACGGAGATGTCGCACTTCTGCGGGCTTTATTTGTTCTGATCCACATTTACCCTCAACTACTAGTTTCCATAGCACGAATTGAGACCTGGTTTAACGGAAAACACAAACATACACTCTGGTCAGCCAGTTGTTTGAACAAGAGTATGCGACATATGCGATTTGTGTTCTCCAGCGAACAGGGTTTGTTGTCTGAATCTCGCGCTAATTCTGGCCCTCACTTATATGCCCTTCAATGCTTTCCGTCAAATACTCAGTTCTTACTGAGCGCCACTTTCATTTGGTGGCAGAAACTCAAAATACTGGTGGATGGGTACTGCAGGGAGTCGCTTCCCGAGAGGGCGCCCCATGCGATGCGCATTTATAAGGCTCAGGTTTCCACTCTTGACCGCGTCAACCAACTTGGAGCCTAGGAGAGGACCGTTCCTTGGTCGTGTCTCCACACTTTCGAGCTGCTTCTTCACTCCGAGGGCTTAGAGTGAAGGTAAAGCGGTGCTAAAAATAGCAAGAATCAAGAGAATAGGAAGCGCGGAGCCTTAAGGTTCAGAAAATTATCTATTAAACGAAATGGAACATTTTGGGAAAA